CAGAAGAGCCGCGGGCCAGCGAGGTGCAGACCAGTCCCCAGGTGGGCACAAGTACCCCGAATTTCCCAGTGCTCCTCCCCCGGCCAGAGCTGTGGCATGCTGCACGGGTGGGCTGGGATGCAGGAAATGTGGTCATGCAGGGTAGAAGGGCACTTCCGAGGGCCTCAGTTTCCCTTGATGCTGCAACTGGACACAGAGTCCGCTTTCCCCCTTTCAAATGTCTTGGGTATAATTAGAAAAGTGATGCAGTTTTTCTGTTGTGTGTAGGTAGATATGCTTGATTTCCTTCTTTCTTTTCTTTTTTTTTTTTTGGAACCAGGGATTGAACTCGGGCCCTTGCGCTTGCCAGGGAAGCGCTTATTCCACTGAGCCATCTCCCCAACCCCTTGATTTCATTTTAAAAAATGTATTATTTTAATACAATGAACTGAGATGAATTCACCTAAGGTGCGCGGTGGCACTAGCATACACGCCCGCTCCGTGCAGTGCACCCGTCACCATCGACAGTGCTTTCGTGCCCTCAGGTCATGCCTAGGACTGTGACTCCATATGGGGGATGTCCGGCAGAGCTGAGCTACTGGGACTGGGGAAGCGATCAACGCAGGTGCCATTGAGCTGCACCCTTGTAGCAGGCCCCAGATGTGCCCATTTGTATGTGTTTGGTACAGGGCCTCACTGTGCAGCTCAGACTCATAGTGATCCTCCTCATTAGCACCCTCAGTGCTGGGATTAGAGGAGCATGCCACTACCCCTGATCTCGGTGGCTGGCTCCGTGCACCCATGGAGGGGCCTGCATGGTATATGGTGCTAGGGATCGAATCTTGGCCCCTGCACTTGCCTAAGCAAGTGCTTAGTCTGCTGAGCTGTCTCACTGGCCCTATGACCTATTCTTAAATGATTGGGGGCCGGGGAGATGGTTCAGTAGAATAAGTGCTTGCCTGGCAAGTTTAAGGGCCTGAGTTCAATCCCCAGTTCTGCAAAAAAAAAAAAGTTTGAAACATAATTAACCAATTTTTTTATGCCCAGAAACTTTTTTCCCCCCTACATTTTAGGGAAGGGACTACAGGGTGTTCAGGGTCTCACTACTAGATCAGACTCATAGTGATTCACCTGTTTACAGCCTCCCACGAGCTGGGATTACAGGCGCGCCACCACACCCAGTCTCAATCGCCAAGCAGGGCCAGCACAGGCCCGGGGATTGAACCCCGAGCCTCTACACCTGCTTGAAGGCACTTTAATCTGCTGAGCTATTTGACCGGCCCCCAGAAACTTTTAGTTATGAGGCCCTACTCCACAAAGTCAAGACGAGGGTGTTATTTTGGGCCTGCCAAAGCTCCTTAGCTGCTTCACCCACGACAGCGGAGAGTGTGTCGGTCAGCTCTTTGTCTCTGTGACAAAAGCGCTGAGGAAATCTAGTGGGAGGACGAAATGTTTGCTTCAGAGGTTACGGAGCACGGTCTACCGGCTGGGGAAGGCAGGAGGGCAAGCTGCCAGGAGCACACGGCAGCCGAACTGCTCGCTAGAGGTGGGAAGCAGAGAGCGGGCCAGACTAGAAGGGGCCGGGCAGGCGTCCGCCCGCAGCTGCCACCCAGGGCCTGGCCTCCAGCCAACCCCCTCCTGTTTCCTGCTCCTCCCTCCAACGCCACATCAAAGCAGGATCTCACCAGCAAATTAATCCTCTGCAGGCGTTGGAGCCCTCAAGACCAATCACCTTTCGGAACCGCCTGAGCGAGGCAGCCCGGCGGGGCACTCTAGGTCCAGGCCCGGAAAGGGTGCTTAGCTTGGGAGGGGGCCCGCCTGGGAACACAGTGGTTTGGAAACAGCTACAGAGATGGATGCAGAGATAAAACGCAGAGAAACAAGTCCCTGTCATCTGTCGCATAATGAGAGGCGATGAAGGAGTTTAAGGGATTGAGAGCCTAGAAGCAGAGGAAGCTCCGGGAGATCAGAACTGGCCTGTGCAGGCTCCTCACTGTGTTTTGCTTTAGAGTCGTATGCGAAACAGAATCTGGGGGTTTATCTTCAAGTTCTCCAAATGGGAATCGTTTCCCCTTCTAGTCCCCAAATTGGTGTCATTTTCACAGTGACATCTTATAGACGATGAGGCCCAGGAAAGCGAGAGCCTGAATGTGCTTTCATGTCGCCCCCCACGCACCTCGCTGGGCCTGTTTCCCTCATCAGCATGGTGTTGGCACAATGCTTGGCCGTCCAACACGGCGCCCTGCCCTGAAAAGGCTAAGACACGAGTAGTACTTATGTATTCACATTTATTTTAGTGGTCATACTTGCAAGAGTGGCCTTTTGAAAAGTAGCAATGGGGGGGGCAGGGAGATGGCTCAGTGGAATAAGCGCTTGCCAGGCAAGCACAAGGGTCTGAGTTCAATCCCCGGTTCCGAAAAAAAAGAAAAAATTAGAAAAGTAGCACTAGGACTGGTCTAAGGCACCTGCTTAGGCAAGCTTAGGCAAGCTCAGGGACCATGGTTTGATCCCTAGCACCACAGGCCACCCCAGCCCCGCCCCTAGGGGCTGAGCCCAGCCACAAAAAAAAGAGAAAAGAAAAAGAAAAGCAGCAGGGACTTCCCCTGGCCAGGTGGCATCCCACACCTAAGCAGCCTCAGCCTGCTGCACAGACTGATGTGACGCTGCTTTCCAACAGGGCATCGCAGAGCTTCCGTACTGTATGTACGCTGACCTCACTCATGAAGTGCTTTTCCAGGGTCTTTCATGGGACTTCACTGTTTCTGCAGGGCTAGCGTGAAAGTGAGAGAGAAACGCAGCCCACCCGCCACATTGCCAGCCACCCCGTGAAGGGCAAGACAGTGGGGGGCTCCCCTCCCCCGTCCTGTAGGAGCTGCGGGAAATTAGAATTAGAGAAAGCCTTTCCTCACCAGAGAGCCTCTACAAAGCTGCAAGTGAAGGAGGACAATTTTTATTATTATTATTGCCGCTGCTATTTTGCAGCACACATCCCTGGCCCTTTTTTATTCTTTAGTTTGAAACAGGGTCTTGCTAAGTCACTAAATTGCCCATGCTGGGCTCAAATTTGCGACCCTCCCACCTCCGCCTCCCAGAGTGTGGGATTACAGAGTGTGTGTGCCCCACATCTGCTAAGAAAAGAGTGAACAGTAGCCCAGGCGGTGCTGCTACCAGTGCACCTCAGAGGGGAGCTTGCCCTCTGGGCAGCTCAACGCCCCCTCAGGCCAGGCAACCGGAAGTCAGTGCTGCTGACTGGGGTTGGGCCTTTGGGGAGGAGAAGACTTCATGGGCAGAATCAGCCCGGGACCAGCATGATCGTGGCGTGGCCTTGTGCTGCCTTCCTGCCCTGCCCCACTGCTGCCATAGGCCTGTCTCCCAGGGACGGGAAGGGCTCCTAAGGCAAATCCCGCCTGGGGCACAGGCTTCCTCTGCCTCTGTCGCGCCTCATGTGGTTGTGGTTGTCCCGGGGCCTTTGCACAGGCTGCTTGCTCTTCTCCTGGACAGCTCCATCCTGCCAACGCCTCACCATGCAGCAGCATCTTGCACAGTCACCTGAGAGGCCTCTAGTCATTGGTCCTGCTGACCTGTGTGACTTCCTCCCTGCTACGATTCAGGATTACTTGTGGACTGGCTTAGCCAGTATTGTGAACGACACACGGGCAGAGACTGCACTGGCCTCGCACAGAATCGCTTGGTGGCGTGTGGGCGCCCTGGGAGGAGGAGAGGCTTAAACAAAGCCTGGTTGTTCCCAGGCCCTGCATGGGCCCGCCCTGCTCACCCCCAGGCCCAGGTGCCTCCAGATGGCAGGCAGGTGTTCCAGCTGGAGGCTGGGAGCCGAGGCCCGCCCTTGTGGCCCATTCCTCCTGTGCTCTGGGCTGTTCCCCTTGGCGGCCTGGTCCCCTCTGACTGCCCCTCCACCGGTCTTGGTGGCCTGTGTGAAGAGGGACCCGAGAATCTGCAGCCTGCCCCATGGTCTCTGCTGTCGCTAGGGTCGGCTGAGAGTTTTCTATCAGAGATAGAAAAGAATAGGAGAAGCACACAGAGTAACAAACGAATGTCTCAGGTATTGGGGGTCGTGCATCTGCACGTGTCCGTCATCTGTGAGAGCAGGTGACAGCAGCTAAACAGGGTTTACGTGATGGGGTTCCTGCCGGGATGCGGGGAGCCTGCACAGAAGACCACAGGCCTAGGAGCCCCTTGCCTCCTCTTGCTGCGGTCCCTCACTCCCCAGAGTCCTGCCATCAGCTTCCAGCCCCCTCTTCCCTCTCACCCCTAGCTTCTTCCTCTTCCCTCTCACCCTAGCTTCTCCTGGCTTTGCGGACACGTGCACCGGAACATCCTCTGTAAGTTCACAGGCCCGGCGGTGGAGCTGTTCGACGAGGAGTTCCGCCACCTCTATGCCTCCTCCAAGCCCCTGATGGGCCTGAAGTGTCCCAGGCCGGCGGCCCCGCTGCAGCCCAGAGCTGTCCCCAGCACCTCCAATGGCCGCCTCAGTAGCGACAGCTGTTCCACCAGTGACCACACGTCTTCCAACCCCTTTAGCAGCCCATCGGTGGGCAGTAGCCCCCCAAAGCAGAGACTGTCCACTTCCTCAGGGCCCGGGAGTCCCCTGGCTCCCAAGCCAGTCCAGCCTCCCAGGTATCAGCCCTACCACAGCCCCTGGGGAGCCCCGGCTCCACAGGCTCTCTTCCCCGCAAGGACCACCAGTGGCCCACCTGTCCCCTACAGCAACCTCAACGCCTACCAGTCCACACGGCTGCAGCTCGAGCAGTTGGGCCTGGTGCCCAGGGTGCCGCACATCTGGAGACCCTTTCCACAGGCCTCACCTCATTTCTGAAGGGTCTCCTGTCCCTGCCACCTCTCCCCAGGGCCAGGGCCTGGCACTCTTGGGTTCACTGCCTCGAAGAGCCCACCTCATCTACAGCATTGAGCCTGCATCGCCTCGAGGCACCAGGCACCAGGATCAAATCACTGCCCGTGTGAGTGAGTCTCCCAGCCCTCTTGTCAGCCTCCACTGGTGCTTGGCTTCCCCTCTCTGGCTTGGCCTGTGCAGCTTGTTCCAGAAGGTTGTGGGGAAGGAGGAGGTGGGAGTAGTTAGAGACAAAATCATAATGTCACAGTCCTTTCTACAAAAGATCCTCCAGAGCTTTAAAAAGTAATGGTCAGGCGCTTCCCTAGCAAGCACAAGGGCCCGAGTTCAATCCCCATTTCTGCAAAAAAAAAAAAAAAAAAAAAAAAAAAGTAATGGTCAGGGCCAGCCAAATAGCTCAGCAGATTAAAGCTGCAAGCAGGTACAGGGGCCAGGGATTTGATCCCCGGGCCTGCCATGCTGCCCCACCCCCGAGGGCACACTGAGACAGCAATTGAGGCTGGGCACGGTGGTGCGCGCCTGTAATCCCAGCTCTTGGGAGGCTGTAAACAGGCGGATCACTACAAGTCCAATCTAGTAGTGAGATCCTGAACATCTTGTACAACCTTCCCTAAAATACAAAAAAAAAAAGTAATGGTCAGCAAGGCTGCATAATGTAAGAAGGGGCAGGTTCAGCCCAAGTTTTACAAACAAGTAAATTGAGGCGCTGGAGTGTAGGTGACAGACTGGAGCTTCTGTTTCCCGTGCCCAGCAATGGCCCATTGGTCAGATACTCAGAAGATCTGGGAGAGGACAGGGGAACACTCTAGGGAGACTCATCTCTGCCAACATTGGGGTGCCCTGTGAACTAGGAATGTGGCCTCAGAATCTGCTTCCAAAGTTATACGGGGCCACCTGAACCTGCAGCCAGCAGGAAGGAGCAAGCTGAGGAGTCGGCGTTGGTGGATCAGGCCAGGTTAGCAGACGGACCCAGCCCCGCAGAGCCTTGGTAGTCAGGGTCTGGAATGGCTTGGCCGCAACGCCCGGGGCGCCCCGCGTGACTCGGAAGGGTCCAGCTGGGCCGGGATAGCAGCTAGCTGAAGACCCAGGGCCTCTCTCTGGCTGCCAACTAACTCCCTGAACCTCACAGGCGCTGGGGTGTGCTCAACAGAGTGTCGCTGAAGCCACTGAGCTGTGGGGGTTTCTTCCTCCATGACGCAGCTTCAGCGGACAGAAACGCCTTCTGGGACCCACTGCCACTGTGCTGTTTCCCAAGGGCTAGGAGTGATTTCCCACGCCCAGAAGTAGATCACAACTAGTTTTTAGCCAAATTTCAAACCTGTTGCAGGGAACTGACAGCTAACTTCACAGCTGGGGCAGGGGCAGCAGCGCGGTGGCAAGGGAGTGGGTGCTAGGCCCACTTGCACTCTCCCCTGCCACCCACGACTCCTCAGACCCAGGACAGACTCGAAGAGCACTGTCACATGTCAGTGTGTCAGCTCACCTTCAGATGCAGAGGCCTCAACTTCCTGAGCAAAGGATTTGGGACGGAACAGCAGGGACGAGGAGCTCCACTGCAGGCGGGCATGGCGACACTTCCTAACTCGCAGCGTCCTGGGCAGCTTTTGCTCCACCTCGCTCAGGAGACACCTTTCCTGCGGCTTTCCTCCCAGCGGCCAGGCCAGGGGGCCGAGGCCAGGAGCCTTCCTGCTGGAGGCCGCCCTCGTGCAGGGTAGTGTGTGATGTGCCTCCCACTCTGCTGAAGACTTTCCTCAGCCCCAGCCCTGCTCCTGAGCACCTGGTGCTTCTGCCAGGGCAGTGGCATCTGGCTCTGTCTTCTGGTAAACTCTATTCCTAGCCTCACTTTGTTTTTCTTAGTTTCTTGAAATTTACAAAAGAACAAATACTAAAAATCCAACACGCCTTTGGTTCCTGATGTTTTCTCGGCCCCATCCTGAGATGGTTCCCCACTGACGCTGGAATTTGGGTAGAGTTACCAGGCCAAGCTGGGTGGTGTGAATTGGATTTCACTGTCAGCCAAGACAAAGACAGAAGGGCAGGAAAGCTTGCCGGGTGCCCCAGGTCCAAGTCCCGGCCTGCCCGGCCTCTACGGGCCCAGCCCAGGGGCAGGGGCCGCCCAGCCACTCCTCACTGCGCCCGAGCAGAGCCTCCTCTGTGGCTTAGAGCTCACCACAGGGCTGCTGACAGATTTACCGTCTCACTCTCGGGGCCTGTGGGGTGGGCGGCAGGGGCACTTCGCTTGAGCTGGTGCTGCCAAGGTGCAAGCGATGGGAACCTGCAGGGGAGAAGCTGGGCAGAGTGGGTGCAGCTCACCACGTAGGGAGCCTCCAGCCTCCCTCTTCTACCAGGCCAGGTGCCTAAGTGATCCCCTCCGCAGAATCTGCCCCCAGCAATGCATAATGGATTCACAGTAGGAAGGAGAAAAAAGCCTGTGCCACTGCAGCCACTGAGCTGCGAGGGCTTTTTCCTTCGTGATGCAGCTTCAGTGGACAGAAATGACCTCTGGGACCCAATGCCACTGTGCTGTTTCCCCAAGAGCCAGGAGTGGTTTCCCACACCCAGAAGAAGTAAATCAGAACAAATTTTTAGCCAAATTTCAAGTCCTGCCAAACCTGGTGGCATCTAGCTTTAGCTCTATTAGGTTATAATCACTGAGGACCTCCTTGGCAGGGCCTGCTTGCTGGAGGACACGCTTAAACACAGTCTCTGTTACCACGTGAAGCTCCCCAACACTGGGCACCTCCCACGGCCAGGCCCGGGGTCAACGCCAGCCACACCAAGGGCGCAGAGTCAGCTGGGCAGACCTTTCCTTGACCGTCCCTGGAAGGGACGAGAGTGAAAGAAATGGTGTGGCGTTGTGCCCATGGAAGGGCCAGCCAACGCAGCACCCAAGCTGGGGTGCTGGGGCCCAGGCCTGACCCCCAGGCTAGGGGCCAGCACTAACTGGAGGCACGGGCTGCAAATGAGCCCCAGCCCGCTCCTGGATGCTGCCCCAGTTTCACTGTCCTCAGAGGACACGGACCTGTGTCACTGCTTCTGCACAGGAAGAGCCCAAGGCAGCACCTCTCTGGGGACCTCAGCAGGCCTGCAACAGTATCACGGCTGGTCCAGGCTCAGTCACAGCACCGCTCCCTCAGCACAGGGACACGCAGACCCCCGGGTGCCTCCTCGGGTAGAGGAGCCCACCTTCCCTGGGTCTGGCAGCCACCTGAGGGAGCACAAAGGCTTTGTTTTCTGGACTTGATCCCAGAAGCTGTAGGACAGAGATGCCGCCCCGCACCTTCCCAGCTTTCCCGCAGCGTGGCTGGGGGCGGAAAGCTGCTCTTGGAGATGCAAACAGGGCCGGGCAGAGATGCGGCCCTTTGCATTCGGTGTATTCTGAGAACGTGAGGCTTCCTCAGCGCCCAGCTCGTCTTGTCTTTCTCAGTGGGGATGGTGAAGGAGGTCGTGCAAACAAAGCAGGGCGCCGCCCAGCCACGGGCCCAAGGGCAGTGGCACAGTGTGGCAGGGTGGCCGTGCCAGGGCAAAGCTGCCCCCTCCTCGGGCTGCTCCCAAAGCAGCAAGGACATCTCCACAGGTTCACACCCCTTGGGGCTGGCGCCTGCTCAGGAGCAGAAGCCCCCTCTTCGGAAGGGCTGCTGTTTCCTCAGTTCTGGGGCTGAGGCCCGAGACCACGCTGCCAGCTACTCCAGGCCCTCAGAGGCCTCTCCTCGCCTTGCAGAGGGCCACCCTCTTGCCGGGGTGCCCCTCTGTGTCCCTAAGTTCCAATCTCCTCTCATGAGGACCCTTGTCAAGCTGGCTTAGGAGCTTGAGGAACCGTGTACAGGTGCCCAGTGGCCAAGGGCTGGACTTGTGGGGGTCAGCATGTCGGCATGATTAGGCCCTGAGGGCCCTGGTTCTCAGTCAGGGGTCACTCCAGGTGTCTCGAGGCAGAGATTAACATTTGACCATCCCACAGCAGCTTGCCCTCCCAACATGGGCTTCAGTCTATCAGCTCATGGCCCAATAGGATAAGAAATCAACCTTCCAGCGGGTAAGACACAAGCCTGGTGGCCTTCAGCTTGGACAGCCCAGATGTGACGTGACGTACCAGCTCCTCTGCTCCTGAGCCTTCAGCCTTCAGGCGGGAAGCCCGCCAGGGCCCTCAGGACCGTCTGCAGCCTCCAGTCACAGGAGCCAGTTCCTTCTCATGTCATCCGTCCATCTGGCTTAGTGGTGGCTACTTCTAGGGAGAACCTGACTAATATGGACTTTGACATGGGGGTCTCTGCCTGCAGCTGGGGTTACTACCCAGCTAGTCGGTGGTGGTCTTCCAGAACATGGTAGTCCCGGGCTGGGAGAACGGGCCCACGTGCTGGCCTTTGGTCCCAAACACCGACGTGTGCCATGTTTCCTGGCCCTTTCTAGCTCTACAGACTACCTGGATCATGGTCACTTTCCAATCTTTGAGACTAAGACCCTCTCCCTCCCCCTGACTCATCCATCTGCTTCCACTGCGCATTTTTAAAGACCTTAAGGTGGCCTCAGGCCTACCTGGACCACCCAGGATATGTCCCTAAGGGTAGCTGGTTAACAACCACAACTCTTTTGACCCGGATCCCAGAACGTTTGTGGCTCTAGGGGTTAGGTGGTGAGCATCTGGGAGAGACGCGACGCTGCGTGCCACACTGCAAGGGCTCTTGGGGCCAGCGAGATCGCTCAGCAGTACAAAGGGCCTGCCTGGCAAGCACAAGGTTCTGGGTTCAATTGCCAGTACCCAAAAAAAGAAAAACAAAAAACCCTCGGGGTTCCTGCGGAGGCCTCAGGACCCACCCCCAGCCCCTGGTAAACAAGCTGGGAGCCGGAAGTGGCAAAGCAGGACTCTGGTGTGGCCCTGAGGGCTCTCCTTGCTTTTCTCTCACGGAGACCTGCTCTTCTGTCTACTTGGCAAAGCGCAGCTCCTTCCAGCTTTTGGGTCTGCTAGGTTCAGGCACGCAAGAAGCACTGTATTTCTTCTGGGTTCGATTCCCAGTACTGCTCCCCTCTCCCCCGGAAAAGAAAAAGAAAAAAGAACTGTATTTCTGAATCCCTAGGAGAAACTGATAGAGGGGAATGAAGCGCCCAACCGGAAAGATCCCCGGGACAAGTTCCCCTAGAACTAAAGAATGAATTTTAGGAACAGTGGAGGTTAACAGAAAAGTATAT